TAAAAAATAAATAAATAAAATAGTTCATTACAATACATTCATTAAAAAATGTATACTTACTAAGTACCCACCTGTTTCATGAAAGTTCCATATCGGCCAATGTTTAGAACCCCTGACAAAGTTTTCAATGTTTTGTAAAGGTAAAGTTTAAAATAAATTCTTGTGTTAATACATGTCGTAATCGTAACTAGATTATATTTTGTACGTATCATACTACTGTGCCTACTGCCTAACCTATGTTAACGATCATACATACAAATGTACTTACGTACCTACCTATATATACAGTATTATTGTAACGCGTTAAACGGTAAAAAATAATGTGATATGTGTAAATGTGCATAAACAAATGAGGCTCTTACTTACTTTTTCATTTTTACTCCTCGCATTTCAGCGGCTACGAAATCAGCATTTTTCGTGAAATATTGAGCCACCATCAAACCATCCACTCTAGGCAAGTTATTCGATTGTCCTTTTTGAAAGCCTTCTTCCATGTTTCAAATTAAACAACTAGGTACTAAACAAAAATAATTATTATTGGTCGGGAGACAAACTCGTACGTAACGCGCGGTTAGTAGGTATCAGTGTTCGTGGCGACCTGCGGCAGAGCTGTGAGCGCGCGAGGCACCGCGTGGTGTCCAATGACGTCACACGCGAAGCCCGCGCGTGCACGGAGATTTCATTTTTCGGTTAACTTCCAATGTCTGTAACTTTAAAACTACTTCGAATTTTTAAATAAAACAAAAACAGTTGCATTTTGTAGCCCTGAAGCACCATTCCTAAAAAGTTTCAAGTGATTCTGAGCACCTACTAATCTTCTTCATTGTATAAAATTAAATTTTGAATTATTCGCTCACTTCTTTATGCCTACGTGTGGTGTACAAGAATTAAAGTCATTTAATACCAAATATGAATCTATATATTTGAATTCGGATTTAGATCAAGTTTTCATAAATACATTAAAAAGATTGCAGAACAAACTAATAGAATTCGAGCATCGTGAATCTGGCTGGTCTTGTTACAGTATGAGTCATTTAGAAATAAATATCAACAAGTATAGTCCACTGAGAGGTGGTTCTTATTTACCATTACCAAAAGTCATTCTAAGTACGAAAAATTGCTTGAATATTAAAAATACAGATAATCATTGTTTCCTATGGAGTATAGTAGCAGCAATGTTTCCTGCGACAAGTAACGTTTGTAGAACAAAATCTTATCCTCATTATTCAACTGTTTTGAATACATACAACATGATCTTTCCTCCATCATTTCGTGATATAAAAGAGTTTGAAAAAAATAATTCTAACATAAGTATAAATATATATGGCCTTGATGAAAAGAATAATGTTACCGGTCCTCTATATAAAACAAAAAATACAAAATTAAATCACTTTAATTTACTATATTTTGAAAGGAATAATGTAGGTCATTATTGTTTGATAAAAGATTTGTTAAGACTTGTTAAACGACAATTTACATCTCATAACGGAAAAATGTATATTTGTGAAGAATGCTTACAATTTTTTAAAAGTCAATTAAAATCTGATACCCACGCATGTTCTAAAATATTAACGCTATTACCTCCCAAAAAGAGTATTTTACAGTTTAAACATTATGAAAGAAAGCAAAAGATTAACTTTGTAATTTATGCTGATTTTGAAAGTATTTTATTGAATTATCATGAAAGAAACACAGAAAGCACGCAGATATATAAATTACATGAAGCTTCTTGTTTCGGGTATTACATTTGCTGTAGCTTTGACACATCACTGAATAAATATGTGACATACAGAGGAAGAAACTGTGTATAGAAATTTATAGAGTATTTAATAAAAGATATTGAAAATATTAATACTATTTTGTCATATACTTCACCAATGAAGCCTTTAACTAAAGCTGAGAAAATACAGTTTCAAAAAGCAACTACATGTCATATCTGTAATCAATTACTTTTTGATGATAAAGTGCAAGACCATGATCATATTACCTCACAATACAGAGGCGCAGCGTACTCGCATTGCAATCTCATGTACAGAGTATGTCCATTTGTGCTTGTAATATTTCACAATCTTAGCGGCTATGATAGCCACTTATTTATTAAAGAACTAGCGAAATACGAAGGAAATATCAATATAATCCCAAAATCAAAGGAAAAATATATAACGATAATAAAATTTATAAAGTATAAATCAGCTTTACGTTCAGTTCAAATAAAGTTCATTGACTCTTATCAATTTCTGAGCTCTAGTATTGAAATTCTTTGCAAAAACTTATCTGATAATGACTTCGTAAACTTAACGAGAGAATTTAAAGATAGCTATAAAATAAAGGTTTTGCAACAAAAAGGTGTATATCCTTATGACTATGTAGACTGTTGGTCTAAATATGAGGAAACTAACCTCCCGTCAAAAGAATGCTTTTATAATAGTTTAAAATGTGAACATATAAGTCAATTGGAATATACTCATGCACAAAATGTATGGATTACATTCGGCTTAAAAACTTTAGGCGATTACACAGATTTGTATTTAAAAACTGACGTTTTATTACTCACTGATATATTTGAAAAATTTAGAAATACATGTTTAACGCATTATATGCTTGACCCTGCATATTATGTATCAGCACCTAGTCTTAGTTGGGATTTAATTTCCGATTTGGAGATATACGAAATGTTGGAAAGAGGTATTCGCGGTGGATTATCACAGTGTTCCCTTCGACATGCGGTAGCGAATAATAAATATACACCACAATTTGATGTTTTCAAACCATCTTCTTATTTAATATATCTGGATTGTAACAATTTATATGGATTTGCAATGACAAAAAAGTTGCCGATTTCCGATTTCAGACTTCTCACTGTTAATGAAATAGATAAGTTAAATATTTTCGACGTATCTCTTGACTCTATGTATGGTTATATTTTGGAAGTTGATTTAGAATATCCTGATAGCATACATGATAATCATAGTGACTTACCCTTTGCACCCGAGAAATTCATTCCACCAGGGGGCAAAACAAAAAAATTAATAGCTAATTTATATCACAAATATAAGTACGTTATACATTACGTTTATTTAAATGAAAGTTTAAAAAATGGTTTAGTATTAAAAAAAATTCATCGTGTGCTTATGTTTAGGCAAGAAACTTTTATGTCTGATTATATTGATCTTAACACTAAATTACGGCAAAATTCAAAATCGGCATTCGAAAAAGATTTTTTCAAACTCTTAAACAACTCTGTTTTTGGAAAAACTATAGAAAACCGTCGAAAACAAGTGAGTGTAAAATTAGTGACAACCTGGTGCGATCAAAATAATAAAACGAACAAACACATGGAGGCACAAAAGTTAATAGCTAAACCAAATTTACGTAGTGTATCTATATTTTCAGAGAATTTTGCAGCTATTCAGCTAAGTCCTGAAAAACTAGTCTTAGATCGCCCCATATACATTGGGTTCACTGTTTTAGAATACGCGAAACAACATTTATATTCTTTTCATTACAACTTTATGAAAAAGAAATATCAGAATAAAGTAAAATTATGTTATACGGATACTGATAGCTTACTTTATCTTATAGAAACTAACGATTTATATGAGGACATGAAAAATGATATTACCACAACATATGATACCAGCAATTTCAAAAAAGATAACCCGTACAAATTACCACAAGTGAATTCAAGAATTCCTGGACTATTTAAAGATGAACTCGGTGGTGACATTATTACTGAGTTTATAGGATTGAGAGCAAAGCTTTATTGTATAAATAGCGTTAGTACCCATATAAATAAAGCCAAAGGAGTTTCAAAAGCTAAAAAAGACTTAAATTATCAGATAATAATCGCGCATTAAATAGTAATAAAACATTTAAATGCAAAATAAATACAATAAAATCTATCAAGCATATTTTATATTCGCAGGAAGTCAATAAAGTTGTGTTAGGTAGATATGGTAGATATGAAGATAAACGACAGATTTTAAATAATCATGTTGACTCGTTACCATGGGGGCATTGCCGCACTATATTCTAATTACATAAATGTAATACTTATACGATTGTATACTACACCTTATTTAAAGTAATTGTGAATTATTCATATCATGTTAATTATTGATTAATTGGTTTCATTTTGATCCGAGTTCTAAAATGTTTGAATCCCAAGACCTCTAATATATTGCGCATAATATGGTATAAAAAGATTGGTAACTTTTTGTTTTTCACCAGACTTGAAAATGAAGTTCATCAAGCAACTCTCCACTTTAGAAATAAATAATATAAAAACAGAAAAAAATATATACATAAGTAATCATAGTATACTTCTGCCTGATACTATCCGAGCTATAATATGTGGACCTTCTAATTGTGGGAAAACAAATTTAATGATCAATCTCTTAATACATAAAAACGGGGTGAAATTTAAAAATATTTATTTGTATTCAAAAACGTCTTATCAACCTAAATATATATTTTTAAGACATGTCTTAAAACATGTACCAGAGACAAAGCTTTTTGTTTTTAATAATAGCGAAGAAGTTATTTCACCTAATGATGCATTACAAAAATCAATAATTATTTTTGATGATGTTGCATGCGAAAATCAAATCAACATTCGCAACTTTTTTGCTATGGGCAGACATAAACAAATAGATTGTTTTTACTTATCGCAAACCTATTCTAAAATACCTAAGCAATTAATACGCGATAATGTTAATTTTCTCATATTATTCAAACAAGATGACATTAATTTAAAACACATTTATAATGAACATGTAACGAGTGATATGGAGTGGTTGGAATTCATAAAGCTGTGCACAACAATATGGCAGGACAGATTTAGTTTTTTAACAATTAATAAAGATTGTGCTTTAAGTAAGGGAAGATATAGACAGGGTTTTGATACATTTATCTGCTTATGAAAATGTATATAACAATGATATCCCTAAAAATAAGTTACTTGGTTTTGAATTATTATTAGTAAACAACAGTCGATTATAATGGATACTGAAATCAAAAAGCAACTAATTCAATCAGTAGATAATATAAAAAATAAAATAAAAATAATGCAGAGTGAAGAAGATGCAGCTAATTTAAAATTTAAAAAGGTATTTAAACCTGTCACTGATAACTTAGAGACCATGATTAAAGGTAATGATTCAAATAAACCAACACTAAATGTTTCCATAGATATGAGTAAACATGAAACAATAGATGATCAAGACTTTTCTTTAGATTATGAAAAATTCTGCAAGAACGCACAAAGAGGATCAAGTGAAAGTTCTGATAATTATGATTTTACATGTGAAGAAAAAAATGTAAATGATACACCATCATCGTTACAAAAAGAAGTTACTGACATGTATGATAAAAATATAAATGTACCATTCGGTATACGTAGTGAAAACAAGAATTTAATGAAGGGGAATTCCAAAGTATCGTTTTCGTTATCAGACGATGCTTCGAATTCCAATAATATTGTGAGCATTGGTAGTCGCCACTATGAATTAACACCTGGTTTAAAGGAACTTTTAATTCGCAATAAACCTAATCTTAAAGTTATTAACGAAACAGATAAGATAACCTATAAAGACATACTTCATTATACGAGTGCACATAAAAGAAACTATAGCCCCAGTGGTCAAATAAGGGGCGATAAAGGTTTGAAATATCGTCAAATAATAAAACCTTTATTTTCACAACATAATAGCAAGAAAAAAAGATTTTCGATAAACAAAATTAAAAGCGGTGGTTACATACCGAAATACAAGAAATACAAAAGCAACACGGATTACATATTCTGGGACGATCCCAATGAATTAATAGATAGACTAAAATTATTGATTGCATCAAAACAGGCTGGTAATACTAATCATGATAATGAAATTTTGTCAATTATTGAAGAATTAAAAGAAGCTGGTGTTATTAAACCATAAATAGCAGAAGACCTAATGTAAATTATTAGTATAAAAAAAAAAACATTGATCATGACTGTTCATGAGACAAAAATTCAACTTGTGAATCAATCCCGAAATAAATCTTTACATGAACATATTGAACTTATGTCCACGTCAAATAAATCTATATCAACCATCGACTCCAACAAATTCTGTATTGATCAATTCAAAGAGAATATATTAAAGGACATTGCCAATATTAACAACTCTCTCGTAGTTTTAACCAAGAGAATAAAAACACTGGAAAATACTTTTGTTATCAAAGATTTCGCTGGGAAACTAAATAAGCATTATGAGCAAAGCAGATGTTATAAACGAAATCTGTAAAGATGCCAGAATTAATTATCCTAGAAGAAGTGTCATACTGAAAGATATAAACGACCTTTGGCAGGCCGATTTATTAGATATGCAAGCAATGTCGAGAGTAAACAAAGGTTATAAATATATATTAGCAGTTATTGACTGTTTCACAAAATTTGCATGGGCTATTGGACTAAAGAAAAAAGATAAAGAGCATGTATGTAAAGCTTTCCAAAAAATACTGGGAAATGGGCATGTCCCGAAAAATCTGCAGACGGATCATGGAAAAGAGTTTTATAATAATCAATTTAAAAATATAATGAGTAAGTTCAATATAAATCATTATTCTACATATTCTACAAAAAAAGCATCTATTGTTGAAAGATTTATTAGAACCTTAAAAAATAAGTTGTATAAAGAGTTTTACCTAAATGGTAATTTTAAATGGTGTAATGATGTACTCGATAAAAAAGTAAATGAATACAATAATACTGTACATAGAACTGTCGATCAACCTCCGGCAACGATTACACATGATAACAAAACAAAAATAATACAAAGATATATAAACCTAAACCATTGTAAAAGAATCAAAAAATGTAAACATTTTCATATTGGTGATCATGTAAGAATAAGCAAACACAAAGCTTGTTTTGATAAGAGTTATACACCCAACTGGTCAACAGAAATATTTAAGATTAATAAAGTGCAAAAAACGAATCCCACTACGTATTTATTAGAAGATTCTAAGTGTCGACCAATACTTGGAGCATTTTATCCTCAAGAACTTCAAAAAACTAAGCATTATGATATATATTTAGTTGAAAAGGTATTGAAGAGAAAAGCAAACTCTGTATACGTTAAATGGTTAGGCCTACCAACAAGCGAAAATAGTTGGATAAGCAAAACGAATGTATTGTAGATATATGTATATTTTTTTTATTCAACAACACTTATTTAAATCAATGTATTTTATTATTCCTTCATTCCATATTAGTTCCTAAAACAGCGAAGACTGTTACAAGAAAAAACATTATTATTATTTTAAAATTAAAAAAAAATGAAGGGGATACGAAATACGCAACGTTTCAATAAGTCGCCTGATAAAGAAGTAAGTAACAAAGAAACACGAAATAAAAGTAAAATATCACCTCCCGGAACTTCTTTGAAGAAAACATTTAAGAATATTGTTGCATGTACTAAAAAACATATTTTCAAGAACATAAAACCTAAGTGTAAAAAAGCATTAATGAAATTAGCACATACAACAGCCCGAGAACTAGCATCAGACTCACCTATAAACATACCACGTATTATACCGATACCTAAAACTGGTGGATTTCTACCATTGATACCGATATTTGCTGGCTTATCTGCTGCTGGTAGTTTAGTAGGAGGTGCTGCTGGAATCGCAAAAGCAGTAAATGAATATAAAACAGCCCAGAAACAATTATTGGAGATGAAAAGACATAATCAGCAGCTAGAAGCAGTCTGTATTGGCAAAGGCTTACATCTAAAGCCCTACAAAGATGGATTGGGGATATATGTTACCAAGAAAAAAAACTAAATTCTAGGCTACCCAAAAGAGCTTTAACAAATATTGATATTATTAAATACTCGTATAATATTCCTTATTTTAGAGGAGTATTTATGAGAGATGAATAACCATACAAGCCTTATATAACAGAATGTGGTGTTATAAATCTTGATACATCTCAAAACTCTGGAACTCACTGGGTAGCCTACGCGAAATTGAATGATTATATCGAATATTTCGATAGTTACGGTAATCTAAAACCACCAAAAGAATTATTAATATATTTAGGAAAAAATATAAATTATAACTATGATAATTTACAAAAAAAACATTTATACAATTGCGGGCATTTATGTTTAAAATTTTTAAAGTCGTTCTGGGAGAAAAATAGTTAAAGTTCTAAAATTGAAGTTTTAAAGTTATATAATACTTAACAAATTGTCTCATGCGTATTATATAATAGTTTGTGCTTGATGATACTAGTGCTGAGTATATCCCAATTTGTTACATTTTATTTTTATATTTATTATTATTATCTAAGAAGAAAAGAAAATATGATTGTTTTTAATAAAAGTGTTATTGTAAGGGACAAACATAATATTCCACTCTCCGTGTTGAAAGACGTTAGACGTGCCAGTGTTGTGAAAACGAAACAAATCACGAAAGAAAATAAAATATTTTTGAAAAACCTTGGATTTAAATTAAATTGAAAACGTTGCAAATCACAGATCTGCCTCATCATGATAATTCGATTGAGAGCTATGAAATCCATAGTTACAATCCTTATAGTAACAGCTTTAAAGATAATGATGAAATAAGAATACCTATTCATCAACAAGATGTATATGTACTGCCTTCAGATAGTTCTATTTACATAGAAGGCTATGCACATGTGATTTCTAAAGATCCAGCAGCAAAAAAAAATATTAATTTTATCAACAACCCACTGTCATATTTGTTTCAAGATATACAATATGAATTAAATGGTGTTGAAATTGATCGCGCGAAAAATGCTGGAATTACTACTACAATCAAATCTTTTATATCCATGAATGTAGGTGAAAATAAAGCAGCAGCTGTATGGGGATGGAATGTAAATGGTACTAAACAGAAAGATGGTAATTTTAGTGCTATTATGCCGTTAAATAAAATATTGGGATTTGCTGAAGATTATAATAAAATAATTATAAATTGTAGACATGAGCTGATATTACAGAGAAGTAGTTCTGTTGAAAATAGTGTAGTTTTAGAAAACAACGAAAACGTTGAAATAGTTATACAAAAAGTTCAGTGGCGTGTTCCTCAAATAAAAGTTGCTGATCGTAATAAATTATTATTACTCAAACATTTAGAGAAAGATCGTCCTATCCAGTTAGCGTTTAGAAATTGGGACTTGTACGAATATCCGTTATTACCAAAAACAACAAAGCATTCATGGTCCATCAAAACTGCTTCTCAGCTGGAAAAACCAAGATATGTAATTATCGGATTACAAACTAACAGAAAATCTAATAAGACTAGAAGTTCATAGATTTTTGACCATTGTAACGTTACTAATTTTAAGTTATTTCTAAATTCCCAATACTTCCCATATGACTCGCTTAATCTAAAATTTGATGAGAGTAAATATAGTATATTATATGAAATGTATGCTAACTTTCGTCAGTCGTATTACAACGCTGGTGTTGATCCATTGCTGGACTTGATTCAATTTAAGGAAAAAGCTCCATTGTTTGTAATAAACTGTTCAAGACAAAACGATTCAATTAAAAGTGGACCTATTGATGTTCGAATAGAAATCGAATGTTCGCAGAATATACCAGAAAACACAACTGCTTATTGCTTGATAATAAATGATCGGCTTTTTGAATACAAACCACTCAGCAACATCATAAGAAAATTATCATGAATGTGATTGTAGATGTCCAAGGATTTAAGGATGATCAAAACCGGTTTATTCCAAAAGAAATAGCAATCCTGTCAATTAGCAATAGGCATCTCATTGTATTGTTAATAAAACCACCATATGCATTTTATAATTTAACGAAGAAAGAACGTTTGCGAGTAGTCTGGATAGAAAAAAATAGAGGTATTTATTGGAATGAAGGATTTGTACCTTATTATAATTTTAATAAAAATGTGAGTGATTTTTTAAGCAATAAATGTATATTAACTAAAGGGCATGAAAAAGTTTTATGGATCAAAGGTATGTTTAATAATAACAATGTACATAATCTAGAGGATCAAAGTTGTCCAAGTTTAGCAACTTTGTATGATAAATATTCAACTTCTTCAGATATTGTAAGCTGTATATATCATAATAATATATGCGCTTTAAAAAGTGTATTCCTATTAGATAAGTGGTACAGAGAAAATGTTACATCTACTTTGTAAATAAAATACAACAATAAATATGACTTATAATTAACTATGTGTTTTATTTCTTCAAACTTATTGAATTGACTTTTAAACTAAAGACTTAATGAAACTAATCCAAATATTTTATATTCATTCATAAAAGGTAATAGCTAGTGTAATACAGTGTAGGTACTTTTTAATTTCATTTTCTATGAAAAAAATAGCATTTATTGAAAATCAATCATTGTGTTTGATAATTCAGTAGTATTATTCATTAGTAAATACGAAATAGATTATAATTTGAATGCTGTCTGATGATGATTGGGTAACCTGGATCTTTTTTTGATCCAGGTTACCCAATTATCATCTACTTACAAGACATTTTTCAAAGGTTAAGAGAAGTTAATTTAAAATTAAATCCTTCAAAGTGTAATTTTCTGAGGAAAGAAATTTTGTATTTAGGACATGTGGTATCTGCTTTAGGTATTACGCCTGATCCAGAAAAAATCAGTATTGTAAAAAATTATCCTGTTCCAAAGAATACCGATGAAGTTAAACGTTTCGTTGCTTTTGTAAACTTTTATAGAAAATTCATTCCTCATTTTGCTGCAAAAGCATATCCCTTAAATTTACTTTGCAAGAAAAATGCCCATTTCAAGTGGGACCAAGAGTGTCAAAATTCATTTAATATTTTAAAAGAAAATCTTACTACTCATCCGGTTCTACAATACCCGGATTTCTCAAAAAGAAACAATTTCGTATTGCAAACATACGCATCGAACTACGCTGTTGGTGCGGTTTTATCAAACAAAGACGGAAAGCCGATAGCTTATGCCAGTCGAGGCTTAAATCAAGCAGAAAAAAATTATCTGATAGTAGAAAAGGAATTACTTGCAATTGTTTGGGCTGTTAAACATTTTAGACCATATCTTTATGGGCAAACATTTAATATTTTAACTGACCACAAACCACTTGTTTATCTTTTCGGTATGAAAGACCCATCCAGTCGGTTAATGAAATTTAGAATGATATTAGAAGAGTATGATTTTACGGTAGAGTACGTGAAAGGCAAAGATAATGCGGCTGCAGACGCGTTGTCTAGGTTGTGTGTAACATCGAAAGACTTGAAAGATTTGAGTACATGTATGAATGTTATGACGCGAGCTCAGAGTAGGAAATTAAATGAGAATCCAAGGGATGTTATTGTTCCTGATGACAATCGGTCTGATCAACCAAAAGTCTTAGAAATGTATAACAAACCGGACGATTCTGTAGAATTACAGTTTATAGACAACTTGAGTTTAACACAATTACGAAAATCAAATGAAATAAAAAATGAAAGCTCTATGTTATGTTATGTTCCTTCGAAAAGAATAATTTATATAAAACCAGTTACTCGATCGCAACCGACGCCAAGCGCTTTTGCGAGAGAACTGAATGTTATGTGTAGTGAAATTAAAGTAGAAGAAATATATTTTTTTAAAAATAAAAATAATTATATTTTTATAGAGAAGCTAGCGAAGGAAATTACTAGAAAATGTAAATGGTCCGGACCACGATTATGTGTATTGAAAAATGTAACGAAAATTGAAAATAAAGATGATAGAAAAGTTATTTTAAACGATTTTCACCTCTTGCCTATACGAGTGGCCACGCAGGCATCAGGCGAATGTTTAATAATATAAGAAAATATTATTTTTGGCCGGGATTAATCAACGATATAGAAAAGTTTGTAAAACGTTGTGATAAATGTCAAAAACAAAAATATACAAGTAAATATGTAAAAGAACCAATGGAAATCACGACAACGGCAAACTCGGCTTTTGAAAAAATATTTATTGATACCGTAGGACCTTTAGAAGAAGATAATTTTAATACTCGTATATATTGACAATTCAATATGAATTAAGTAAATATGTTATAACCTATCCCTTATTAACAAAAAGTGCTACAGAAATTGCGAAACAGTTTGTAGAAAAATGTATATTAGTGTATGGAATACCACAGATAATCGCCACAGATCGGGGTACGGAGTTCACATCAGCAGTATTCGCAGAGGTATGTAAACTTCTTAATATCAAGAAATTATTATGTAATACAATACTGTGCATTTGTTAGTCGCGCTTACACAACATGTTGTGTGAAATAAGGACATGCAAAAATTAACAAGAAATCAAACAATAGGCATCCAAATCAATCATTACATGCGGGCTATTTTATAACAATTGATAATACATTTTCAATTGTTTTGTGACTCCCAATCATGTTATTTAACATTATGTATCGATTGTACAGTGATATTAATTTCATACATGAATTAAAGTTACTTTAGATGGACACAACAATAAGGTATTTATTAGTTTATTTTAAAATAATATTGGAAATTCTTATGAGATTAATATTAATTAATAGTTATGTCAAGTGAATAATAATTTTAAATCAAAACAAAATATATATTTTTTTGTTTTAGATGAAATGTAACAATTATTTCGGCTAGTTGATATTACTACTATTATCTAGGTATAATTATGTATGTTCGTGACCTCTTATTCATTGTTAATTTCTAGTGTAGCGGCTACGTGATACCAGAACATTTTATAGAGGAAATACAAGCAAGGTCCTCGAAATCAAATAGATTCAAACAGCTAAGGAATGATGCTACTGCCGGCTCCCACCATCATATGCAAGACAGGCCAAAACTCAAGGTAACAAATCGTTAGCAGCACATTAGAGTGTGTATGTGGATCACTTTTTAATTATTTTGTAGTAAATTAATTTAATTGATTACAGGCCCGCCGTTCTGCAATTCAGAGCCGCAGCAGCAACATCACCATGGCAACTTATAGTGCTTTATTTCAATGGATTCCGTGGTTTCATATATAAATATAACAACAATTAATTAGTGCACAGGCGAATTGGAATGAATGACCTAGTTTAATTATATTTCATCGCTTCATTCTTCGATATAATAAACTATGTAGTCCCTTTAACCTACAAGGCAATATCGCACGTATTTCAGAGATTGTCTATGGAATAAATTAAAAAAGAAAATTTCGCTGTCAACCTACTCGCATCCATAGTGCACATCGTCATTCTTTTTTCGAGCGAGGCAATGCACGCACGCTGCTCTCTAACGGAACAGCGTAAGGTAAACCTACCCTCACTTATTTATTATTTAATTTTTGTTGTGAAAAATGCCGAAACGCAGTGCACAAGATAAAATAAATTATTACAGTGCAAAGTTAAAGAGGTTACAAGAAAAGGAATTAAAGGATCGGCGTCGAGTGATTGTTTATTCTTCGTCAGACTCCGAAGAAAAATCAGGTACATGTTTAAGGGTTTCTATTAATAAAATGAAGTGAGTTAATAAGAGGTATAATTATTATTAGCCTGGGGGTTAACCGTGAGTTAACACGAAGGTATTATTATTATTATTAGCCTGGGGGTTAACCGTGAGTTAACACGAAGGTATTCATAATCGTAAAAAAACCCCATACAAATTTTTAATTTTTTGCCTCAATGTCCTTTATAGACAATTTTTAATTGCACAAGTTATCAGACAGTTACATAAAACTGTTAGATAGTTTAATATGCTAGTCTATAACAAATACAATTATTTGTTCTAGTTCATGCTTCACCTACACGAATAGACAATATCTCGACCCAGCCGAGTGAAGGCGTTTGTGATCCCGCCACAGAAATCTTGACCACTCATATAGACGAAACTTTATCCTCTGAATTGGTACATCCTGCGGAAAATATACCAGAATTAGATTCTGAGTTACTAACAGCCTTGGGCGATACTGGCGAAGATGCCCCTGTATATGGAGAGAATATACATCCAGATCTGGCGCAAAGGTGGCTACCGATCCTCCGTAAAGGTTTAAATAAGGAAGGAAAAGAAAAACTTTTAAAGGAGTATGTGGTACCGGAAAACTGCAAACAGCTACGAGCACCGAATCTCAACCCGGAAATAATGGCAGCGGTAAACGATGGTACAAAAGCCAGGGATAAGAAGATTGAGAGTGGACAACACCAACTTGGAGTGGGAATCACAGCTGTCAGCAGGGCTTTAAGCCTGCTTCTCACCAATGATGAAAAACAGGGAAAAGTTCAAGTGATAAAAATATTATCTGATGCTTGTCGTATATTGACGGATTTACATTCGTCCGAAACACAAAGCAGGATAAAAGCGATAACCCCTTTACTAGATAAATCATTTCTTAATGTGATACAAGGGGTAGAAAGCGACGAATTCCTCTTTGGTACAAAGCTAGCTGAAAGAATCAAGGCTTCAAGAACGATAGAGAAACAAGGATTACAGATATAGAAGACTGGATTAATCACGAAGGGGCCTACCCCTTCTACGTCACAAAATCAGTCTACAACTATTCGCTCACGTTTTCAGGGAAACTGGACGGCCCCTCCTCGCTTTCAGTTGTCGAGCAGGGGGGGGCGAGGAGCTACACAGAGGACGCATCAAGCAACGCGCAAAACTCAGCCTGCCTTCAACCAGACGAGATCTGCAAATTACAAGCAGTATCGTGCCCCAACGCGTCATTAACGCAGGTACATGCTGGCAAATTACACTATCATTATTCTTGTTGGGCTAAAATTACAAAAAACCCTGTTATCTTAAAAGGGGTCAAATTAGGTTTTCCAATCCCATTAGAAAAACAGGTTAAGCAGACCCATATACCCAATAATAATTTGTCCAATTCAGACCACCTCTATATGAAAACATCCATTCAAAATTTGTTAAACCTAGGAGCCATAGTTGAATGTCAACCAGACCCTAAGGAATATATATCAAACATTTTTCTAGCTCCAAAATCAACTGGTGATTTTAGATTCATATTAAATTTAAAATCCTTCAACAATTTTGTTAAAAAGCTTCATTTTAAAATGGAAGATTACCGCACTGCTTCAAAATTAATACCGAAATACGGATATATGGCTACCATCGATTTAAAAGAATCGTACTTATCTGTACCCATATTACCCTCACATCGTAAATATTTACGGTTCCAATTTGATAATATAACATACGAATTTACTGCAATGCCTTATGGTCTGAGTGCGGCACCTCGAATGTTTACAAAATTGATGAAAGAAGTTGTTTCTTATTTAAGATATAGAGGATTTTCTTCGGTAATATATATAGACGATATTTTATGTATAGGTAAAACATACTCTGAATGTCTATTAAATGTGAAGGAAACATTACATGTATTAGAATGTCTTGGATTCGTAGTTAACTATAGCAAGAGTTATATTGAACCACGACAGCAATGCAAATTTTTAGGTTTCATATACGATTCCGTTAATATGTCTATATCATTACCCACAAAAAAGCGCAATAATATTTTACAATTAGTTAACCAATTTTCGTTATTGCCCAAGCGTCCCTTAAGAGACTATGCGCATCTAATAGGAATTCTTATAGCGGCTTGTCCTGCTGCCCGTTACGGGTGGCTTTACACCAAGCAGTTAGAACGAGAGAAACTACTAGCACTTCAAAACGGTAATTCTTATGACACAAAGATAAAATTTTCTAATCAAAGTTTACATGATTTGAATTGGTGGATGAATAATGTAGAAAATGTTGACTGTCCTATGGGGTCTTTGAAATTTGATATTGAGATTTTTACTGACGCTTCTCGTACAGGATGGGGTGCTTGTGCAAATGGAAAACGCGCAAATGGTAAATGGAAAACACATGAAAATAATTTCCATATAAACTATTTAGAATTGCTAGCAGCTTTTCTCGGATTGAAATGTTACGTTCATAATAAGTCTAATTATATTGTTTTATTGCGGATCGATAACATAACCGCCATAAGCTATATTAATCGAATGGGAGGTGTAAAATTTCCACACTTAAATAATTTAACAAGGAATATTTGGCAATGGTGTGAAGAGAGAAAAATATGGTTGTTCGCTTCTTATATCAATACTAAAGATAATATAGAAGCTGATCAGGAATCGCGGCGTATTAATCCAGACACCGAAATAGAATTAAAACGAACAAGTTTTCTTAAGATCACGCGAAGGCTCGGACAGCCAAATATTGATTTTTTTGCCTCTCGCACCAATGCAAAATGTGATCGATTCGTATCGTGGAAACGCGACCCCGAGTCATTTGCCGTAGACGCATTCACACTTGACTGGAAACCCTGGTTTTTCTACGCTTTTCCACCATTTTCTATAATATTAAAATGCCTTAATAAAATAATCAATGACCAAGCAGTAGGCATATTGGTTTACCCTTTTTGGCCCTCCCAACCGTGGTTCCCGCTATTACAAAGCCTTATTGTTTCTGACGTAATATATCTTAATACGAATACAGAAACTGTTGTGTCCTCTTCCAGGAACCAACAACGGATCAGTCGACATATCCTGGCGGCAGCGAAGCTCTCAGGGTTGCGTTCACGAAACGAGGTTCACCTATCCCATCATTAGAGTTAATGCTAGCTTCAGTGTCAAAAAATACCATGTCGCAATATAACAGCACTTACAAACTATGGTGGATATTTTGTAAAGATAATAATTTTGACCCATATTGTGCTGCAGTAACTGCAGTTTCATTGTTTCTAACCGAACAATTTAATAAAAAATCATCTTATGGCTCATTAAACAGCCACAGATCCGCCTTATCGTTATTACTAGGCAATAATATAGGCTCACAAGAACAAATAAAACGTTTGCTTAAGGGTGCTTATAGACTTAGGCCTATAACCCCCAAGTACAGTTATACTTGGGACCCTCAAATAGTACTAAATTACATAACAGATTGGTACCCTAATAAGCACCTTTCTATAGAAAACTTAACTAAGAAGTTAGTAATTCTCTTAGCCCTATGTACAGGTCACCGAGTACAAACGTTCTTCCTCATCAAAATAAATAATATTATGATAAGTAACAATGGAGTCAAAATTGTTATTTCAGACTTAATTAAAACGTCAGCACCAGGACACGACCAACCAATTTTGCATTTACCTTATTTTATAGACAACATTAATATATGCCCTGCAACTACATTAAAAGATTACTTAGATGTTACTAAAGATTTAAGAGTTGACGGATCGCTTAACCTACTGCTGACGTTTAAATCACCTCACAAGCCAGCATCATCGCAAACCATAAGTCGATGGATTAAGCAAGTTCTAGCAAACAGCGGCGTAGACATTTCCATATTCACGGCACATAGTACACGGCACGCCTCCACCTCCGCCGCCAAGACTGCAGGAGTATCAGTCGATACCATTCGAAAACTAGCTGGCTGGACTAACTAATCAACAACTTTCGCCAAGTTTTACCATCGCCAAATATCAGATGAAGGAAGTTTTGCAAAATCCGTTTGTCTTACAAATAATAATGAGACTCATTGATTAATAATTATTAATACCAACTGTAATTGAAACGGTTTAAGATCTTCAACAGTAAAATAAAAGTTGATTGTGAACACAATATTTTTTTATTTTATGACACCAAAACTTCAAACTCTAAACATCTACATAGTTTATTATATCGAAGAATGAAGCGATGAAATATAATACATGATCAAACGAACTTCACAAGTGAAATTCGATCAGTATTATATGAATACGCTTCATTCGAAGATATAATCTCCCTCCCACCCATACCCTTTCGAAGTTTTGGCAAAAATCTCTAAAATAATGACGATGTGCACTATGGATGCGAGTAGGTTGACAGCGAAATTTTCTTTTTTAATTTATTCCATAGACAATCTCTGAAATACGTGCGATATTGCCTTGTAGGTTAAAGGGACTACATAGTTTATTATATCTTCGAATGAAGCGTATTCATATAATACTGATCGAATTTCACTTGTGAAGTTCGTTTGATCATGTATAAGTGAGTATTGTTATTGCAATATGATTTTAAATCACAATCTTTTACTTTAAACTTTAAAAAGTCGTAAAGATCTTGAAGTTCATAAGCTCCTTCAGGAATCTCGACCACTTCATTATTACCATAGTGAAATTTGTTATTAGCTTTAGTGATATTCGGTATAGAATTAAAAGTAGAGAAATGCAATAATGCACATTCATAATCACCATCAAGATTTAAAGTCGGTGA